TTTCAACATCCCCCCGCACAGATATTACATCCCAGAAACATGCCAGCATAAGGCAGGGACAAGAGGATGTTCCGAAGTAAGGGGACTGGTTCAACTGCGAACCACTATCTAAATGCCTTGCTAAAGCCCATGGAGCCCTGATGGGCAACGTAAACATGATTTGAATCCGGGAAAGGGTGAAAGGAAACATCTCTCGGCAATCCGGATCACAATCTAAGGGTTTCTCAAACAAGGGTTCGACGATGCGGGAGCACGTACGGAGGACCGAATTTGAGAACTGCACGAAAGAGCACCCCTGCGATTATGACCTCGAGGCACTTCAGGATCTCCTCGTACATTGCAAGAAGCTTCGCCTTGCCGAATACAGCAACTTCTTGTACCCCTTGTTAGTTTCCATTTTATTTTTCATTATCCCTAGATAACCCCTATATTACTATAGTAGCCCTATATTGCCCTTATAAGTAGCCTTGCTTCACGAGGATGTGGGGCTTAGGGTACCCTTGGGAGCAGCTTCTGGAGGAAGCTTGCCTCACAATGTTGAAATGGGGCTTAGGGTTTAGGGGTTTAGGGCCATACCTTGTTTTGGGGGTCCCAATAATAAGGACTAGAGTCCCCTTAACTTGGGGAACTACCATATGTGGATAGTATGCACATTTTCCCAAGATTCTCATGCTGCATTCCCGTGTCCTGGAAGCAAACCTTCTATAAAACCCATGAAGCTTCTGTCATCTTCCAGCATTCACAATTCAATCATTCGAAGCCATGCCCCCTTACTTGAAAGCCTCCACCAGGGAGAACCCTCCTTTCGCTGTAGGCGTATCTGGAGAATGCTGTAAGGCTCCTTTGATGTGTTTGGCTGTTGTTGAGCCCTTTGATCAACTTTGATCTCACTCATTTGGTGTGTTCTCCTCTGCGCAACCTAAGACCTTCGACAAACTCCACGTGCAACCCCGCAAAGAGATTTCTCCGACGTCCCAACGCTCCTTGAAAGAAGGATGGAGTCAACTACACTGGGGCGCCACAGGGTACACCAGTCTGAAAGAAATCCATCAACGATTTGGGGAACAATGGCTTGATGCCAAACTTGCCTCTTGGATTTTGGACGGCAACAAGTGCTCCGACAGAAAGGATCGAAATTCAGATGCCCGAAGCAGAAGACACACCATTCGACATCTAATGCAACACCCAAACTAAACTTCACATACTTTGCTAGATCCCCATCTCTTACTGGGGGTTCGTAGGGAATAAGGGAATGTATTATATTCACTACATACTACATTCCCATATTCCGTACTAACCCTCAGTAAGATGCGGCCGGGTCATCTCCACTTGTGCCGCTTCAAATCTTCCTTAGGAACAATGTGCCGAAAATGGGAAATCCATAATGCCCGTCTTGTATCCACATATTAATCCTCTTTCCCTAATGTTAAACCCCCTGCCCCACAATATTGAATATGCCCACTGTGTTGTATTACAATCTGTTGAAGTATGTTGAAAATATTGAGTATTGCGGGGGGTGGCGGGAAGAAACCATTACGGGGAAATGATTACCAAAACCTGCACCAAAACATCCTAAAGCCTAAACCCGAACCCTAATTCGTAAAGCCTAAGCCGCACACCCTCAGTCCTAAATCCTAAACCCTAATTCTTGAACCCTAAATCTGAAACCTTAAATAACATTTTGGCTAACCAAAAGCCGAGTGTGAGGCTGGGTCTGGCCCGGTTGCGCTGGCTGTCAAGGCCTTCAAATGGGATCTTTGGGGGTATGGTGTAATGTTGGACCCTGTTATGCACGTGCCTCCTCTTTAATGTCAAGTTTTGGGGGCAAAATTCCTAATTTTAGGTCTCAAAAGTTTAAATAGTTACTTTTAAATAGTTATCATTGACTTATTCTACTAATATTAATACTAATACTATCACCATTAGGATTTACCTGGGCCCCCCTCAAACAATTTTAGTTCAGGATCCAAAAATTGTTTGGGGGGACTACATACTGAAGCGGGTCCAACATTAGGGTTTCGGGTTGTAGGGTTTGGGGTTTAGGATTTAGGGTTCAGGGTTTAGGCTTTAGGATGGTAGGGTGTAGGGTTTAGGTCCGCTTGGGGTCTCCCAGTAGTAAGGATTGTTCTGTTTTTTGCGTCTGAGAGCAGACCTCATTTTGGGAAACCCCCCATTATGTGGGGCTCGATTGTAAGATCCCAGCGTGGCAGAGTAGCATACGTCATCACAGAAGCGCTGATGATCGCGCATCAAAGAAAATGGTCGTCTGCGTAAGAGGTGTAACAACAGACTCAGACGCCAGCACTGAGCATTTAATGCTGGAGGACGTTTCTCAAAGGACTGCATTGCAACAGTACAAATCAGCGAATGCACTCCTGTCATCCCTGGTCCGGATTCATGCTCTCCCAATCTCGAATTTTGGACTGCTGTACCTCCACGTGTGAATCCAAACTCCCGCCTGCATCTTCTGCAGAACCCCTTTGCATCCCGTCGCAGTTCCGTTGGTTCATACATGCCCAGCCAACCAACGCATCGAATCGGATCGACGATTGAATCGATCGAATCGAACTTGCCCGTTACCGTGGCCCTCCCATCTCCCACCTCCCACCTCGGATGTGGGGGGGGAGGTGGGAGGGTGGAGGGTGGGAGGCCGGGGGGGTGGGAGGTGGGAGAGGGTGGGAGGTGCGAGGTGGAGATGGGAGGTGAGGGGAGGTGGGGTGGGCGGTCGGTGGGAAATCGGAGGATCACTAAATCGCTGGAAATCGAATCGATAGATCGATGTCCATCGAATCGGCTCGGTCTTGGCATGTTTCATAAAACTTCATCAAAGCGCATCGCCGTCACTTGTTAACTCTCTGCATGCGCCGCAATGAACCAATGTCAAGGTGACATTGATCCGAGTGATACTCAGGAACATTGCTTGATCGATGCCTGGAGCAATGCTGACAAATTCGGCAGTAGCCATTCTGCGACTTAACCATGGTCTTTGTGCGATTAATTGCGCTCAGGGCAACTTCTGCTCGCACGCGGCGAAGCTTGGCCAAAGCTGGCCACTCAATCTTCGTGCCTGTGATGGCTTCAAGCTGTCGCGCATCCTTCCTCAATGTCCAAGACAGGGATTCACATCCGCCCCTGTCAGTGTTCCGCGTGTCAACCTTTCCGGGTTCGAAAGGCATGGCCAACTCTTTCGCGTCATCGTTTTCCGTAGTAGCTGTATTTGTCGTCTGTGACAGACGATCTGAATCACGATAACCGACCTCCTGTTTGACCGTGGACAAGATGAGCGCTGCATCCGGCTCCTTCACAGGGACGTTGTGCCCAAGGAGTAGCTTGCGAAGTCCCTGCACTACCGCCTGCATCCTTCTTTTTTCGGCTTCTTGCTCTTGAATCAGCGCGTGCAACTCCTCTTTTAATTGTGCAACATGCTGCTCCACTGGATGCGCCGCCTTTTCTGTGGGCACGAGTCGCTGTACTTGATGCTGGAAGGGCTGCGACTGAGCAACTATGTTGGAATGTTGTGCAAACGGATTGCCTTGCGGTTGGAGCTGGTAGCAACCTTGCGGAAGCAGGTCCCCAAACACCCCACGTAGGGCCTGGCACAGGGAGTCCACATTGAGCCTGAGCAAGGCAGAACAGTGTCTGCGGGCTCCAGGGACTCCAGTGCCCGTGCATGGATAGAAGCTCCCACTTGCAAGACTTTGTCTTGCAGCTCCACGATTTCTGATCCTCTTGAACCACAAGTGCTGCGCCAGACACGTCTTTCTTTGATTATTCAGCGGCAAAGAAATCAAGAAGGGATTCCAACAAAGGGTCCCAATTGCGCATGCTGATGCCTGTCCAAGCCCAAGAGCCTTGCCTTCTTCCGTAGGGCGGGAAGTCGCCTGGACGCATACCTTAAAAGCAGACTTCCACTACGGAGGTTGTTCCTACACATCATTGTGAAAGCATTGCACATCATAGTCATCGCAGTAACAGTAATAGGCCCGTTACAAGAAATGTTTATCACAGGAGCCTTTCTTTACCCTGAGGGGCAGACACGCTGCATATCAGCAGCTCTGCTTGCAAAGAGCGCAGGACTCGAGCAAGCATTCTTACAGCCTGGGTATGCTACCTGGACATCCAGCCCCCTCGCACGAAATTTTGGCAATGGAAGAAGGCAACGACATGAAGAATCATTCAGAGCCTGAGCTGCACGACTTGTTGATCGCTGTGGTCGTCAACAACTACTGAGACTGCCGCCTCTGACCCAGGTGCAGCCACCGTCACCGCTACTGCTGCCGCCCCGCCCTCGCCGCGACCACTGCCACCACCACTGCCGCCACCACTGCCACCACCACTGCTGCCCCCCCCCCCTTCTTCCGCCAGCACTGCCACCACCACTACCCCCCATGACCACAACGATGACCAGCACGATGACTTCTGCTGCTCCTACTCCTACTCCTACTTCTCCTCGTAGTACTAGTACTACGATGGCTTTAACTACGACCACGAAGAAGACGACTACTACTCCTGCTGCTGTTGCTTCAATGATGATGGCGACTAACTACGTCATCACTTACGGCCTGGGTGCTCGAGGTCTGCAATGACCAGCTCCTCAAGAATGGACTCGTACCTGTGACTTCCATAGCAGGGTCTTGTCTTGCCTCTCTCTCTCTCTCTCTGGCATCACGTCAGTCGCGAGATGAACATGGCATGTAGTCTTCAGCAGAAGCAAAAATTATCGTACTAGCATGTGGGTGGTTGGAAGAGGCTTAAGCTTTCCTTGTGGTTTCCACAGCAGCATACGCCTTCGGATTGCTTCGCAAAGAGATCATGAGCTACATCCATCCTACATCCAATCCTGCGTTGTCCTGAGGCCATGACTCCTTAACTGGGTCGATGTTGATGGGATCCTCCCAGCAAATCTGTGAATGTCTTGCATATCAACGACGAGACCCGTGTGACTTGCAACAGCACAAATCAGCTGCGATTGTTGAATGCCACCCCCCCTGCCCCCCTGCCTCAACGTGCACAATCTTCTGATCGCTGAAGCAGCGGACTACATGGAAGACCACCTGACATGCTGCAACAACGGCCATCACAAGAGGCGGCCATATGCACGTGTCAATGCTCTGCCTCAAGACAACATCATAGGCGGAAGCCAGACTCCTTGTAGTTGTGGCAGTAGTAGAAATGGTGGCACCGCTAACAATGCCAGCAATGGCAGCAGCAGAAGCTGTTGAAGTACGGACTAGGATTGCAGCCATCATGTGGACATCCAGGTGTTGTTGCAAAGGCTATTCGCCTGCACACCCCGGATCTGACTGAGGAAGGCGTTGCCCATCCCCGCGCCGGTGCTGGCACCCTGCAGGGCACGAGGAGGCTCGGCTGGCTCTATGCACAAACTTCAGCACCGAAGACTTGACTGTAATCAAACTTAGTACTGAAAACCCATGTCATGTGGATGAATACGGCCTTGATCAAGCCGGCAATGTCTCGAATCTCCACTTGTCCAGGCACCTGAAAGGGGTGACACGGCGAGGAAAAAAGTAGAAAGCCGGAGTCTGCAGATCTTCTGATGCATAACATCTGCAGAAGCTCTTGTTTTCTACGTCGTTTCCTGGTGCCACTGGCCGCTTCTCTCCGTCTTGGGACCCACACACTGATGGTCCCGCTAGTGCTAGCACTCGTACTGGTGCTGTAGAGGGTCTAGGGCTTAGGACCAAGCAAACGAAACAGCATGAGTTCGCTCCAACTACAGGGGACCTCATACACAATCAATTGTTGCAGGTACCAGAGCGCCTGCAACCAGCAGGACATGAAAGATAATCAGGATGCATGCTGAACTTCACTCATATCATTACTGCAAAAAGCACGAGACTGAACTAAAAGCTCTCGAAACCTGGTATCCCTACCTCATGAGCTTCATTTCGGAACCTTATGACACTCCACCAGTTCAAGTCTAATACACTCACACGCGATGCCCTACAACACCTTGCAGAAACTTGTTGAGCTTTTTGAGGCCGTAACAGTTCTGGGAGCAACCCTATGGAACTTCTGACGAATGGACGGACCTGCCCCATAGTGCGGAATGGTTGGGGACTAGGTGCTGTACTACAAGGGCATCCTAGAACAAAGCCGCAACTTTGAGTATTGCCACGAGAGGCCCAAACTCCACACAGTTTGCCCCCGAAATCCCTGAACCTATCTAAACCCTACAACGTGAACCTAACGCAAATCAACAGTATCCTCAGTGACCCACAGTTCGCTGTGAGGAGAAGAGCTCTGCCAGTTGATCGAGTCGTGGATCTGGCACCCCGACCTGTCTGGAGTGACTGTGTCCTATGAATTTCACTGTACCATGCAACTCAGGATTCAAAGCTTAGGATTCAGAATAAGGTTTAGATGCAGACATTGCGGTTAGGGTTTAGAGGGTTTGCCAATGTGGCGATGAGCTGCAAGGACTGTTTCAAGGATTACCCTGGGGAGTGCTTAGTGGTCTGGGGATTTGTTTCGTCAGGGAGCGTTTCTTGACATTTGGAGGGGTTTCGTGTGTGGGGTGTGAGGATTTAGCTGATTCTCGGCGCGAACCTCTGATCAATAAACCTGGGTCTTTCATCGGGGCTCTACTAAATCCTGCAAGAGCAAGGGTTGATCGATCTGAGTTCTTCTAATATGCAACAAGCACGAAAACAGGAATAAACAGAGGGACGTAGTGATTCAACAACAATAGGTTTTAGCCAGATCAGGACAGCTCGCTTGGCAATTATAACGAAAGTTATCAGACTCCGTAGTGGGTTTAAAGGGTTTTGCATCGTCAGAAACTTATGAGGCTATCTCATCATGCAAGGCCTTGCGAGACTGAATGATGTTGCATGCATATGTTGAAGCGCCCTGTAGGGTTCTAACTCAGGCTTTTACCTCTGCTGGCTTTTGATCAGTAACGGGCTTATGCTCTAGCTTTCAAACTCATAACGGGAGTAACAGGGGTACGGCATGTTTTTCTTATGGAAGCAGCATGCGAGGTTGCAAGGATAACCATCTGAAAACAGTTACTGCTAAACATCAACTGGCCGCCATCAACAGCTTCCCTGTAATCAGTCCTTGAGACCCATGTCAAGCCACCCCCATTTTTGAAAAAGCCGGGCGGAACAATTTTCGTGGGTTGACTGTGCATGCTCGCATATTTGGAGGTCCAACTTGGCTTTGGAACCTAGACACTAAAGCTTCATTAAAATGCTGGTATTTTGTGGCCGCCAAGGTCACATCTCCATGTTGTCCTGATTTACGATATGTTGAGCGCCTGTAAGGTTTGACAAGGATTGCAACCTTCCATGCGTTGTTTCAGGTATGGAGCTTGTGAGCGGGTAGTAGGGGTGCGGATGAAAAGGGTCTATATAAATGATGTGAGCTAGAAGATCTGGTTCCCAATTGCCTTTTACTATACTAAGAATTCAAATCATTTCCCACAAGTGGAGAGCAGGTTCTTTTGAGGCTCACGTTGCTGCGGCCTGGGCTTCAAAGAGTGGACTATCAGCAATGCTAGGTGGAGTCAGGATTTTTGATATCAGCCCGAAACCCTAAACCGTGAATACTATAGTTCTTTCCACATACTCCCAATGTATCACAGTATAGTCCCCCTTAAGTGGATATTTTATAACAAGATCCCCAAATTCCCTATATTCTATGTGCGTAAGGGGGACCATATATCACAATGGGAATATTTAGTATAGGGGAGGCAGATGCGTTGCAGCTTCGCCGCCCGGATGTCTGAATGTTCATACGGGATCTCCCCAAATTAGGGGTAGCATTTTGGGGGTCTCTGTCATAAGGATTATATATTTTGGGGTTCATATTGGGATCCCCCTATTTTGGGAGACCATGGGGATTTCAAAAAATGATGAGACCTTTGGGGGGTCCGGAGAATAAGGATCATCATATACTAGAGTCTATGCTGCGGCGGGGCCGATTTATGTTTGTGGATGAAAGGTCTTGAGTCTTCTACCTTAGAATGGCTGCGAAGGCTGAAACATGACGACTTTTCTGGAAAGTGTCGTGTTCTATCTTCAAAGGTTACCAAGTCTGGGGAAATACTTCAGCTCATAGGGATCGATTTTTCTGTCTAGATAAACTATCCCCTGGCCCTCCCAGTAAACCTCATGGGATGATCCTCACTGTTATCCCCTAGCCCCATAATCGGTACAAACCCTAAACCCTAAACCCCAAACCCTAAACCCCAAACCCTAAACCCCAAACCCTAAATCCTAAACCCTAAACCCTCAATCCTAAACCCTAAACCCTAAACCGCAAGATCTTCAAGGCGCCTTCACAATGTTCGGCTCAATGGTGCAGAAGGGGAAGTTCTCTGCAGCTGCAACTGCCGCACCTTTCAGGCCAAGCAGTCTTCAAAACATGGGGGTTTAGGGTTTAGGGTTTAGGGGTACCCTTTAAAGGGGAGGTATAGGGGTTATACAGGGTTTATATGGGGGTTATATAGGGATAATGGAAAAGAAAATGGAAACTACTATTTAGGGTTTAGGGTTTAAGGTTTCCCAAAATTAGGGGTACCCTTTTTGGGATCCCCATAATCTGGACTATAGTATATTAGGATCTATATTGGGGTCCCCTTATTTTGGGAAACTACCACATGGAAACCTGCGGTTACTGCCGTGAACCCTCACGGGCTTGAATTACACCACATAAGAAGCAAGCCTCATGAGGCCTCAACTTCTTTTGTGACCGGCGTAGCGTGAGTGTCATTTTGGCAAGCAGCAGCTGAAAGCTCCAGGTCTCAGTCCCAGACCGGCAAATGCATTGAAGAGGGAGGACTTGCCAACATTGGGATAGCCCACCTGAGCCAGAGTCTAAACTCCGAGAATTTCCCTTAATAACCCCCTGCCAGAGTCCCCTTCTTCATCCCCTATATAACCCCTTTTTGAGGCGAACATGTGTTCGCTGGAGGATGAAATTTATCTCCTGCACTCCCTCAACCCCTAGTAAAGCCAGAATGCTGAAGTTTAAACATTTTCGCATTCGATTGGAGCATCTTGCAATTCGACTCTCGGATACTGGGGGCATTCAGCAAAACTGCATATCCATATTCATGATACAGAACCCACTGAGGTACGCATAAGAAACTAAGCCAATGGTGACCTGCACTCAGGGACTCAGGCACTTAGGACTTCAATGTTCTGTCCTTGCACCCAGCCACCCTGAAAATTGGAGTAGCTACACCTGTAGAACATGAGAATTTCTTCTTAGCAATAGTCCGAAGATGCAAGATTGAAGTCAAATTTTCCAACATGTGCCCAACACCAACAATGGAGAAACACCCCTCATGGCCTTCATCCCCCTTCAGCCAGACAAAAGCGTGCAACCATGTGCTAAGTCGACGGCCAAGCCGCAAGCACGATTCAAGCCTGCATCACGTAGCTCGGCTTCGCTCTCACATTGCAAACTACTGCGCTAGCAGTGCACAGCAGCACAGTAATGAGTAATGCAATGATAATAGCAGCAGCTCAGTATCAAAAATGTGAAATGGCTGCAAGAAGAGCTGCACTTCAACCATAACAGCAGTAGCCGGCGCAGCTGCAACAGCTGCTGAGGCAAAGGCGCTCGTGGTGGTGATGAACGTGGGGGTTGTAGTGTGTTTCCGGGTAGTTGCCAGAAAAAAGTCGGAATCACCGTTAAATAGACATTTCAACAAGCATTGCTGCCTGTTTTGTAGCGGGAGACAATGCTGCTTCTGCCAATATTTTTCACCTTCGGCTCTCCAGTGGCGGAGGAGCCAGGATTCCCAAAAGCCCCGAAACCAGTCTCTTGTAGCAGTCGAGTTACCAAAGTGTTGAGGGGCGAAGGCGGTTCAGAAAAACACGCAGATTGCAAAACATGCAGACAAGGGTAGCAGCGATCCTTGACATCCTGTGTCATGGCACATCCATGGTTGCATTATTCAGTAGTCCCCTCCCCAGAAAAATGAACCTCCACTCTCCTAAGTAGCACAAACACACCCCAACATAGTACCACCATGTACTCCGGGGGAATAGGAATTCATCCCCTAAACCCTAATCCCTCCACCCCTAATAATCAATACCCCCAACGTAATACTTAATATTGGGGGGGAACATTGATCATTATGAGGGTGGGGGGTGACTATTACGGGACTGGGGGTCTTGCTAGAGCCAGTAGTTTCAATGTTGCGGGATTCAAGGGTTGCCGGAGGTATGGCTCCAGGGTTACACTCCCCGAAACTAAAATGGAACCTGAAAAGAAGTTCCTTGTACGTAGACTCTTGTCCTTTAAGAAAAAGGGGGACTTGGTTCGATGGTGCTCTTCTTCTGGAGCTCTATGCGCTTGTACCATCCAAGATCCTCCGGGCCATTTTGTCATAAATGATAGGGGGTCCCTATAGACTGAGATGGAGGCTCACACTTTGAACCAGCTGAACCAGTATACCCTCAACCCTAAAACCCAAACCCTACCCGGCCTCTGGTCTGTCCAACCAAGCCGAGTTTGAAGAATGACCTAGGATCAATGATGCAGCATAATGGCATAGTGTGAAGTACCTATAAAGGACTACATGTAACTCTATATGTATAGACGCACAACTATGAAATAGTGTACCTCCAACACCTATTCTAGCTGAATAGGCTCCGCTAGCACCAGCTCCAGGATTTGTGTCTGTTTCCTCTCTTTAGGGTTTAGGGTTTAGGGTTCTATGTGCACACCACCCTGGAATTTGGGCCGGAACATTCAGGATTTATCGAAATAGGTGTGCCAAGGGGACCCCAAAAAAGAAAAACAGGTAGTCTTTAAGGGATTATGAAGGGCACCCTTAAGGACTGCGTGGGTCGGTTTGAGAAACTCCCATCTAGGCAGCCGAAGAAGGGATCATCATCTTTCCCATCTCCTTCTTCTGTCTTCTCCCGATTACTTTGAGCGTCTGGTATGGCATGTTTGATATGAGCTATAGTCAAAACTCCCAGTATCTCCCTTCATAAGCCTCATAGTAGGAACCCTATAGTCCCCCATATAACCTCCTTGAAGGGGTTTGGACCATGGCTCATGTGACTAGGGGGCATGGATTGCTTTGAAAAAGAGCTTCTCAGGCATCGACTGGTGTGCTTGCGCCTTGACAGGAGACGCAGTGGGTAATGCCTTGCAGTACAGCCAACTGGCTGGAGCATGGAAGCAGGATGATCTATATAAGAGACTATAATAGTACCCTCCCAAAGGTACACCCCCTAGATTTGGAACCCCATTAGGCCTTATTAAGCCCTATATAGTCCTTCTCAGCTCCTTAAGCCCTGGGGGGCGGGTACC